GATGTGTAATGTTAATTTTTTTTCTCCAGGAAATTGGAGAAAAATTTTCTGATGTGCTATCTTTTAAGTAGCTTGTGTATAGGCTTACTGAGATATAATTGATATATAGTAAGTTGCATATATTTGACGTGTACAATTTGAGAAAGTTTGAAGTATGTAATACCTGTGAAAAAAGCATTCCATCCCATAAAACGAGCATGTCTGTCACACCCCGTTGCTTCAGACCTCTACTTAATGCCTAGGGCTTTCTTATTGTCTGTAGCCCCCTCCATCCTCAGGTGAACACCAGTCACTTCATCACTGTAGCTTGCATTTTCTAGAATTTTATGTAAATGAAATATATAGCATTTACTTTTTTGGTCTGCTTTCTTTCTTTCAATTTATATAAAGAAGGGCCCATTATTTTGTACCATTGAATACTATTCCATGGATATACAATTATTTATGAATTGATAAATATTGGGCTTGTTTCCAGTTTGGGCTGTTACACAGAGAGCTGGTGTAAGTAGTCACATGAATGTCTTTGGATGGTTATATGCCTTCATTTATCCTTATCTTGACTAAATACTTAGTAGGAGGATGGTAGGTGTATATTTAAATTTTTAAGAAATTTCTGAATTGTGTTGTAAAGTGGTCAAATAAATTTTCTTGGCCACAAACAATATGTAAGTGCAGTTACTCTTCATACTTAGCACCCTTGAACTGGCCAGCCTTTTAAAATTATGGTCAGTCTAGTAGATATATCACATCATTGTAGTTTTGATTTACATTTCCTAAGTTATCAAGTGATGTTGAATATTTTTTTCATATATTTATTTTCTGTATATCTTCTATTTATTACAATGGTTATTATTATATTTTGCAACTTTTAAAATATTTTGTGAATACAAGTCCTTTATTAAATATGGGATTAGCAAACATTTTTTCCCCAGTATGTAATTGTCTTTTAATTCTATTAAGAATATTTTCCAAAGTGCAGAAGGTTTTACTTTTGATGAAGGCCAACTTACATTTTTTCTTTTATGGATTGTACTTTAGATGTCTTATCTAAAAGATCTTTGCCTAACTCAACGTCACAAAGCAGTTTAAGAAAAAGTAAAGGGCAGGAAATGTAGCTCAGTGGCACAGCACCTTCCTGGCCAGCACAAGGCCTAGAGTTCGATTCCTGACAGAAAAAGTTTATGTAGTTGATTAAAATGGGACAAACTTTGTCATTTTTTGGTGGCAAGAAGAGCCTAGTCTTAAAGCCTAGCCCACTGAAGAAGTTTGGGGATAGCTGATTTGACAACTCTCCAATATTGGAGAAAGTATTTTATGTTGTGGAAATAAGAACAAGCCATGTCTACTTCTCAGCAGATAGAAGCTTTTTATAGGTTTTTTTATTGCTCAAATGACATTAAAGTAAATTGTAGATCTATAATAAATTTAATCCTGACAGAAAATGTCTGTTGGCGCAAGCCCTGTCAAACTTAGTTTTATGTACTTAATGACAGAAATAAATGAAACCATACTTGTTTAACTTGAAGAATCTTGAAAAAATTGAGATCTTTTTCAATAAGATGGGTTTGTCCAGAAAATGAAATTTAAAAACCCCGGTTCTGTGCTTTCTCAGACCTTATGGGTTAGAATTTTTCAGTTGTAGCTGCTATCAGAGATGATCTGTCCTGAAAACCACCCCGTAATTCCAACTTCTCATATAAGTTAAGCAACAAAAGTTTCTTATGAAA